CCAGGATAACAAAATCCACAGGATATGTGAATTTGCCAACCTTGACCAGAAGGTCTTCCACTATACCCCTAGGATGCACAACCGATCTGTCAGCTAATTGAAGGGTCATCCTAGTAGCACGGGGTTCACCTAGGCCTAGTTTCATGAACAATTTATATGGAATAACATTGATACTAGCACCTAAATCCGCCAAGAACTTCTCTACATGCAATTTATCAATAGAGCACGGGATAGTAAAACTACCTGGGTCCTTTTTCTTCTGCGGAAGCTTGTTCTGCAGAATAGCCGAGCACTCCTCGCTGAGCTCCACAGTGGCCAGCTCACTCAGCTTCTGCTTCTTTGAGAGAAGCTCTTTCAGAAACTTCGCATACTTCGGCATTTGCGATAGTGCCTCCAGGAAGGGCACTTGGACATTCAGCTTCTTGAGCATGGCCATGAAGTTCTCGAACTCTGTCTCCAGCCTGTCTCTGTGCAACCGAGTAGGGAAAGGGAGTTTAGGGACATACTCCTTCACTACTGGTTGCGGTTTAGGTGCAGGCACCTCAACCTCCTTCTCTACTTCTTGTTCCACCGCTGGAGATGCTGCAACAGGGCTTTCTTTCTCCGGTTCCCGAGCAGGGGGATCAACAGTCAGCTTGCCACTCCTGGTCATGATGGCATTGCACCGCTCATCCGGGGTCTGCGGGTGAGGGATGGTCTGCGCTGGTAGAGTACCAGGCGCCCTTTGAGCCACTGCCTGGGCCACGCTCCCCAGCTGGGTCTGGATATCCTGCAAAACAGCCTGTGTATTCCTCTGACCAGCTTCAAGAGCCAGGAGTTTCCCCGAGGCCTTCTCCATGAACTGCTCAAAGGTGTTGAACTTCTGAGCACTGGTACTGGCGAGAGAACCCACCAAGTCCCGCAGGTCAGCCATATGATCATTCTGCACTGGGGCAGCAAGGGCTGCACCTGGCTGCTGATAAGGCCGCGGCTGTGTTTGAGCAGCATGCCCCTGCATGGGCTGATAGAGAGACTGTTGTTGCTGCTGGAATTGCCCCTGTCTGGGCTGATATGGTGGCCTCTGGAAGCCCGGTGGTCCCTGTGGAGCTGGTGCTCTAGGATTTGGCCCAGCCCAGGAGAAATTAGGATGCTGGCGCCACCCCTCATTGTACGTGTTGCTGTAGGGGTCATTGCGCCTGACATTGTTGATGAAGTTCACCTGCTCCTGGGGTGTAGTCGATTCCTTCATCGCCTGGCAGTCTTCCACCATATGATGGGTGCTCTCGCACCATTGGCAGAGCATCGCCTGCTGCTGTCCGGTCCCTGGAATCATCCCGGAACGATCGATAGCTGAGACCAGCTTCGATACTACCTGCACCAAATCAGATGACTGGGTGCCCACAGCATGCACACCCCGGCCTGGTGCTCTCCTCGATCTCCTGGCAGTGCCCCAATCATAACCATTCTCCGCCATCTCTTCAAAGAGTTGATTCAGCTGTGGCGGGGTTTTGGTCAGCATGTTCCCGCCACAAACCGCATCGATCAGCTGCTTGTCCTCCGGGAAGAGGGCGTGATAGAAGGTGCCCACCTTGAACGCATCGTTGAAACCATGATTGGGACACCTGAGGAAAAGACTGTTGTACCTCTCCCATGCATCCCTGATGGTCTCATCCTCATCCTGAGAAAAGTGTGTAATCTGCTTCTGGAGATCAGCAGTCTTGGATGGAGGATGGTAGCGGGTGAGGAACTTGTCCGCCAGGTTGGCGAACGTGGTGATGGAGCCCGGAGGTCGAGTGTCTAGCCACTCCTTGGCCTGCCCCTCCAAAGTGAATGGGAAGTACCGCAGCTGGATGGCATCTGCTGGTACCCCATTGATCTTGATTCCATCGATGAGCTCGTGGAATCGCCTGAGATGCGATCGAGGGAACTCTCCCTCCTTACCACGGAACACTACTGAACCGCGCAGCATGGTGATCACGGAGGTGCTCACCTCAAAGTTGTTGGCTGGGACCTGAGGGTGTTGAATAGGTGACCTCATGTCCGCAGCCCTAGCGGTCCAGTAGGATCCCATGGTCTGCTCCTCTGGGATCATATCACGGTTCTCTGGATCAGCCATCTCGCCTTCTTCTTCTTCTAACGGCAGCTGTGGTAGCTCCTCCTCCGCAGCCAGTCGTGCCTTTAGAGCCCGCTTGAAGTTCCTGCAAGTTCGTTCAAGCTCCTGGTCTAACGGTAGTAGATCTCCCGACTGGCTACGGGTCATGCACTACCTGCACACAGTCAGCAGAAACAACCCGTGAAGGCACACAGGTGGAAAAGAAAAATGCAAAAAAAGAAAAAGCTAGAGTAACAAATTATCACGTTTCCCCAATAACCTAGAGGGTCCCCGACAACGGCGCCAAAAACTTGACACGCTAAAACACAACACCTAACAATGGCCAAGTGTAACCAATGAAAGGGACTGCAGTATAGGCAAGTTTAATTATCAACCCGGGGTCTAGATCTACTGCTTACTCCGTGATTCTCTATTATCTAGCAAACTAAGTCGAGTGATTGTTGTGAAAAGTAAAAGCAACAAGAAAGCAGTAAATTGTTCGGGTTTCTAAAGCAGGTAAGAGTCACTCGGGATTGAGTCCCCCTAGCCCCTTAGTTAGGTTCAATTGCAATTCCCTGGGTTGATTTACTGTTGATTAGACTGCGGAAGATCCGACAGTAGCTTGGAATCTCTTAAGCTGACCAAGCCCTCTCAGTCTAACTACCCGGCAGACGACTAGTCTTCACCGGGATAGAAAGCTGAGGCTATGAACACAGAACTCCACTACTGGCGCCAAGAACACCAGTACAAAGCAGTCAACTGGCTAACTCTCGTATAGCCAATCTCCTACTATCGAATGAAGAGGCTCTAACAACCTAATCAGATTCTATCTATCTCAGGTTGAAGCAGAAATTGAGAAAAGCTGATCAGACTCAAATCAATTCAATAAACATGCGTCATTCGATTAAAATGAAACAGTAATATCATCCCAAGTCATTACAATCAAATCCCTAACACAAGGAACTAGGGTTCTTCATACCCAAGTGAGAGAAGGGTTCTACTCCATAGAGAGAGAAGAGAAAACAAGAATCGGATTAGTCATACTCATAACGATGAGGATAATCTGCTCCGGGACGATGATTTTCACTCCTATGACGATCTCCAAGCTCGATTCGATGAAATCCAGCTCTTAGACAGCTTCTAGGATGAGTTCTTCGCACTTTCTCTCTCTAGGGCTCTGTTTTTGCTCTCAAAACGCGCTTCTCCCACTTTTGGCTCGAATTAGGCTTTAAAACCGACTTTCCCGAGTTGCACGGCCAGGTGCACGGCCGTGCACAACACCATTCTGGCCGTGCACCCTCAAAACGCACCGTATCAATTATTCGGCCTTCATCCACCTTGCACGGCCAGGCGCACGGCCGTGCAAGCTTCAAGCCTGCCCGTGCATGGCCTCGACATGAGGTGCACGGCCAAATGGCTCAAGTGCACGGCCGTGCAGCCTCCCTGGTCTGCCCGTGCACTCCCCAAAAAGCTCGCTCTTCGTCCGTTCTTCGTCCAATCGACCCCAGACTCTCTCCTAAGCCTTCATTCACGTACTAGGACCTGAAATAACACAAACAAGCACAACCTAGCGTGAAATCGGCCTAAAACACGAGAATCAACACCTCAAACGGTGTAAGTATGAGGGTAAAAACATGTGTAAATGACGGTCTATCAGGTACCCATGAACCTGCGTAGTGGCGGATGCGTGCATGTTTAGGAGCCTACCGGGACACCCCTAAAATTTAGAAAAACGGTTGTCCAGTATCCGATAGTAGTTTGCGTATACATACAAAAAAAATAAAATTAAGTGGTAGTGAGACACTCTTAAAATATGGAAAAATCATTATTCAACTTCCTGTAGTAGTTTGTGTATGAGTACATTTAATATTTATGTGGTAGTTTATGTGATTTGAACTTGAGAGCTACTCTTAGTAAACATATTTTTAATTTGACTTAATTATTTTGTTTTAAATCCAAATATAATAGTAAAAGGCTATTCTTATCTCCAATTATTTTTAAAACCTAATGATTATACCCAATTACGGACTACCCTTGTCTAGTAGGATGTGTCTACAGATATTTGTTGAGCAGTGTAAACACCGAATGTATTTTACCATTTTTCATAATAGGAAACACGTCTGAACTTTTATTGTAACTTTTACTAGATTGATATTTATTAATTTTTATATTACATATTTAATAACAAATTAATTTTAATTAATTTTAATTTTTGGAAGAGAACACTCCTATGTAAACTTTCTGGATCCGCCACTGAACCCGCGGATACCCAACGGTATAGGTTTGAGTTTTCCATACAGATAAACCCATGACTTTGAGTTTAGATTTGACAAAATCCGACCCAACTCGACCCATTGTCATCCTTAATTTCGAAAAACAATTAAAATAATATAATATCACATAACATTTTGAGATTCGCTAGAAAAGATAACATACTGAACAATTAAATTGGAAGGGACTATATAGCTGTGTGGACGATAGCTGATCATATATTTTTTTATCTTATATTTCATTTGTCCAATTTAAATAGCTCAGCCAAATATTTGTTGTTTATTTAGAGCATATACCCAAAGCGATTCAATTTGTTAGTACCTATATTTTTATATGATGAACGCTATTTCTATAATGCTACAACTACATTCTCATAAGAGTATAATAACATCTGAAAGTGAATCAATATCATCTACAAAGAAAATATTTTCAAAATTAACATTGAGGTTGTCGTGAAATAAAAGAGAAATGTGTGGTGGAGTGAAGGCAGACTAGGGCACATGTGTGCAGTGGGTATGGGGTATGGGCTTGGTTGCTATCCCAATTTGCAGGAAATGCGGATAGAAAAAGATTGGGCTCAAGGCCCAATCAGTATTCCGATCTTACTGTGATACAGGGAACACCATAATCTGTCCTCCCTTCTCTCTAAATGGTCTAACTCCAACTCCAATCCTCAAACAAACCTCTCTCGGAACTCGGAAGACCTTAAACTGTTAAACTCGCACGACAGGACTCGGAAGAACTCAGCAAACTCCGCAAAACAACTAAAATGGCGTCCTCGCTCAATGCTAACCTCCACCAACCTTCTCTCAGGTTCAACCCTCCAGCCTACAGTCTTCTCTCTCTATCCTCTTAAGATAGCTAAAGCGCAATTGAACTTTCAATTACTTTCTGGATTTTGATTCTGTATTGTCTTCTGTGGGCAGCTTCGGGACGAACCTTTACTCCGGATTGAAGCTGCAATCTCCAAGTTCTGTTCTTTAAGAAACTCCCTTCTCCTTTCTTGGAATTGGGCATTACAATTTTTCCATTGTCGTGATTGTGTGTTGTTTGTTGTCTTTGCGAATTTGCAGGTGTTCATGGAATTGGGCGACCCAATGTCACTGCAGAATTCTTCGGCCGAGTCCATAAGAGCCTCCATTCCGGGTAAAGTTCGGAACTTTTTACAATTCTGCTTGTTTTGGGGCTTGATTAGATTTGAGACTATATGCATGATTCGTAAAAGTTTGAAGCTTGAACATTTAGGTTCTTGCTTTGTTTTGAGTTTTGAATCAGTGGCATCTCGTTTGAAGAATGGTATATTGAACTGAAACTTCTTTTTGAGCACTATTTACTTATGATGAATGCTGGTGCTATACTTTGCCTGCAGGATTCGCAACTCTAAACCAATTCGAGCAGTTAAAATGATGCCTATAGGTGAACCAAGAGTACCCTATAGGACACCAGGGGAGGGAACTTGGCAATGGGTTGATTTGTGGAATGCCCTCGTAAGTTATTTGTCTGAATGTGGTTAGTTCGTTGTGAACACAACTTTCACCTTAATGACATATTGTAGCATGGTTTACCAAAGACTGCATGTGTTAGCCTTTTGTCCTTCATTAGATGGCTTGAAAACCTTTCCGAATCATTTTGCTGCAGTATAGAGAACGAGTCATCTTCATCGGGCAGGAAATTGATGAAGAATTCAGCAACCAAATACTGGGAACAATGTTGTACCTTGATAGCGTTGATGAGTCCAGAAGGATGTACTTTTACATTAATGGACCCGGTGGAGATGTATGTGTTTCGTGTAATTTATTCTTTCAACTTGAATGCTTCTATTTGGTTTTTGTTATGCTCAAACTGCTTTTGTTTATACTTACACGCTAAGAGTGTGCATTCTTCTGTTTGCAGCTTACTCCCAGTTTAGCTATCTATGACACCATGCAGAGCTTGAAGAGTCCTGTTGGTACCCACTGTGTTGGGTTTGCATATAATCTGGCTGGTTTTCTTCTGGCAGCTGGTGAAAAGGTAAGATTTCAATTGCACTCATTCCCTTAAACGGTTAAACTCTTGTTAAAATGTTCGACCAACCATTAACTTTCGGTGATCAAGTGTGCTAAAGTGTTTGACAAACCTTCTGAATTTTTCATTCTGATTCAATTTCTCCTATGTTAAATAGGGACAACGGTCTGCAATGCCTCTTTCCAGAATTGCATTGCAGTCTCCAGCTGGGGCAGCTCGTGGTCAGGTACAGAATGCTACCATATGATCTTTCGTCGAGTAAACCCAATTGTGGACATTTCTTTGACATTTTGGATTCAATTGACATTTTTCTGTCAGGCGGATGACATTCGGAATGAGGCAGATGAGCTTCTTAGAGTCAAAGACTATCTTTACAAGGAATTGGCAAAGAAAACCGGACAACCTTTTGAGAAGGTTGGTTTTTACCTAATACATGAATGGTTTTGCCTCATTTTTTCGGTTCATTATCGCCGCTCTTAACATAAGTGTTTGTGCAGATTGACAAGGACTTGAGCAGAATGAAACGCTTTGATTCCCAGGAGGCCCTTGACTATGGTCTCATTGACAAGATAATTCGACCACCACGAGTTGATGAGGACACACGTCCGAAGGATGCAACAGCTGGTCTTGGTTAGTGCAGAATATTTATGATTCGTGTTTGGCTGTAGCTGTTGTCATGACTACCGTATGTTTAGCCAGCTCCCTTGTACCATAGTTGTACCCTTGGGGAAATCAGATGCAGTTTACTTGTACAATAAGTTATCAGATCCCCGAAGCAAGCTTTATAAGTTTGATTTTAGTTTATTGGACAATTTTTTGTTTGAGCAAGCAAGTAATTGCATGGCTGTTGAACTTATGGTCATATTCAATCATTTGCTTTTGGTTCTTTTGGTATCTTTTAACATACCTTACACCAACCTATGGCTGGATTCAAATTTGGGAGACGTGTCTTTGCTTCCCTATGCTATTTTAACGCCAGATTTAGATTAACTGTTTGTAACCTTAAATGCAAATGAAAACAGTTCTGCATCATGGTCTCGCCTGATCAAGAATCAGACCCAATCTAGACCAAAGGGAAAACGGAGGTCCATATTTGGATTGTAAAATCGATTCATGTGAACCTAATTGCCGCACACCATCTGGATGTGACTACTATGCCACTCAACTCGTGAACATCATCTAAAGGCACAAAGCAAAAACTGAGGAAAAAACATATAAACAGAATAGCATACAAAATTTTTGAGGATTGACAGCAGAACCAGACACCAAAAAAGACCAGTCTTGTCTCATTCAATCAAAACCATTTCCCATTGCTCTGTCTGATGAATGATGATCCCTTAACAATTCATCTCTCCATCCTTTAGTAACCTTTGTAATAAACTCTTCAGCTCTTTTTTCCAAATTGTAATCCAACACTTCTCCACCATCAACCTCATACAGCCTATGATACTTATCATCATCCACTACTGCCACTTCCTCTTCTTCTTCCTCACAATCTCCCTCATCTAGCCACCCAACCTCGCCATCGCTCCCATCATCATCGTCATCTTCGTCATAGCCATGTTCCAACACCTCATCATCTTCCTCCTTGCAACAATCTTTGCTTTCACTATCACTATCATCCCCATCCTTAGCATCACAAGACATATCATCCTCATCATCATTCCTAACAGCAGCATAACACAAATAGTCATCCCCAGCTCCTCCATAAGATGAAGACTGAAACGAGCTCCATATACCACCACCACCACCACCATCGACGTGCTCCTCATACGAGTTCCTGCTGCTGCTGCTCCCAACAGCAATGGCCAGAACCATGCTATTGAACAGGGAAAGCAGGAAGACAGGTGAGGACAAGGTTGAAAGCAGAACAGCAGCCAGCAAACACAAGATCAAGATCACTGAAATGGGCTTCAGAAGAAGAAGCTCCATGTGCATTCTGTTTATTACCAATATGGTAAAAGATCAAATGATATGATTATGATGCTGCTGGGTCCTTTGATAGATGCTTTCAAGGGTCGATTTATATACAATGGGATGATCAAATTAATTTAACTGAAGTGTATAGCATACATTCAGAGAAAGTGTGGGTGAAACTAAATGAAAATATGTGGCACGAAAATTATGTTGAGTGAGACAAGTAATGTAGGCTTCCAAGCATTGTGAGGTTAAGTGGTGAAAGTTTCAGGTGCAGTTGCCTTTGCTTTGCCCCTTTTATGGAGCTAATCATATATTATAAACGTGTTATGCCCATGGCAAGCCACTAGGAGAACAATTTTTTTTTTTTTTTTTTTGGGTTGTTGAGGTGGCAAGTTCACTGCTATAGAAGTTTCCCATTGGCTATTGTATGTTACTCAACAAATTCTGCCTATAAGGCTATAACCAAACCAAAGTCCAAAGTCTTGGTCTTGTTATTTTGTGTTAAACTAATATACTCTCTTTAAAGTAAGCTCACCAATAGGGATGTATAGGTTATATGGTGGTTTTTGCCATCTAAATTGATCGGTCGAGACAAGAATGAAATACTTAAAAGATGATCATTACCCACCCGGATAAATTAGGAGGGTTGGATTGGGTAGAATGAAAATAATTGAGTGAGTCACATTTTAAATTGATTGATTTCATACATGTGTATAAAAGTTTCTATTTTTATATTAGTTCAAATAAATATAATTTTTTTTAATTTATGAGTAATGAATACACAACTTTTTTATTAAAAGGAATGAATCAAGAAAAGAACAACCTGCAACTTTAAAATTTCAAAAGACTAAGCACTGAAAATGATGAAAATTTTCACAATTTACAGCCGAGCATACATCTAAAGTCTAATGGTTGTTGGTATAGTTGTCCTATGTCAGATAATCTTCTGTTCCCCTCCAAAAGTTGATGGTCAATGGGAGTGATTAAAAGATAATGACACTCGTTTATTTTGTGGTACGAAAAATAAACAACTCTTTGTTATAGTATAATTTACGAAAGAAATCAAATGTAAATCAGTCGTATAATCAACGATCTACACAATCATATTATTATTAGTAGAGATTTACGTGTATCCGTAACTCACTCATCACTAACCCACCCATAAATGTTTGCGTTTTTATGGTAAATCGACCTCAAACCACAGTTCAGCCACCACTAGCCTACCCCTCCTCGGCAATGCATGACATTGATAGAATCTTAATGCATTAATGCAGGGTATGGAATTGGGTTGGCATTTGACATTGTTTTGGCCTATCATACAGCTGGTCAAGAACCAGATTGAACAGTTGAGCTAGAAGAGTTAGTGGCTCGAGTTTTTCTCGTTTAATTGCTAAAAAATTATTGCTAAACTGGGACAGAACTATTTGAAAGAAAACATTGTAAAGAAGGTATGTGATACATTGCAGATTTCGTGTGAATGTAGAACTTTCACGACATTATAATTCGAGTTAATAGGAACACAGCCAGCTGCACTTGTGGTTCATTGGAGAATCCCAACTTCCAAAAAGTCGGTGTAGAACAAGAAAGTCAAAGTTTAGGAGGGACATGCTTTTTCTCATCTTCAGTAAGACGATCAGAAGAAACAGTCTATAGATCCTCCATCAATGAGCAATCCATGGCGAAACAACAGGCAGTGCAGTATTAAACTCTGCAAATCACTCTCAAAGTTAACGACAGTAAGAGGAGTCACCCTGGAGATATAACTAAATAAATAGTACATCATCATCTTCCTGTATTCTACAATGAGACCAGCAGCAGCAGCAGCAGCCTCTCACTAATTAACCACCCCAACTAATCACTAACAACCCTCTTTTTTTCCCTCTCCATCTAAACAATAATAACTCAACCGAAAAATCGACATCCCAAGCACGAATTAACTGTGTACACAGGCAAGAACACAACAAAAGACGCGAATTTAACAGGGAAAAAAAGAGATAAACACAAGGTGAGAGATCATGTTGCTCCTACAAATGATTCCAACTCTCTTAGATGATTTTGTGGTCTGCTGAAGAAGCAGCAAAGACTCACCCTGCATGTACTGTCATGTTAATCTTGCCTTGTTCACTTCTCGAATCGGCTGGAATAGAAGACCACGTATCTCCTCGGAACGAGGTCGATGTGATTCCAGATTTAGGATCAGCGACTGAGATGGGAATGGCATTGGTTGTGGTTGTTGTTGTTGTTATGGTGAAGGAATCTGGTTTTGGCTTCTTTGGCTTCTGCTCGTGCTGATTCCCCGCCAGAAAACTGCCTACCACGACCTGATTTGACCAGCAAAGGATGTCCAAATGAATGGGGTTTCTTGCAAGACAAGCAAAAAAGAGTGAGAAACAAACAGTAAGGAATGTTCGAGAGCAGCAGACCTGAACTGGACCTGCAGCTACTAACAGACCAGCGACCCCGCCACCCAAAACTCGTCCATCTGGACTTGCCAACGAAACACTCATGCCGCCAGATCTGCTCCTTGTCCCTCCCGTTGTATCAGTAGGCATGAATGACCCAGATAAGGATAGTATTTCAAAGCGCCCCTGGAAGAAGATTTAAAGTTCATATAGCGAGTGTGTATATTAGCCTTCTTCAATTGTCATAACTACATCAGTAATTTAGGGAGAGAGAATCTCTTACCTCAAAAGTTAGTGTACCTCCAGAAGAATCAGGCTGACGAAGGGTGACACTGGAGATGACACCATTGGCAGAGAGTATACATATAGCACGAGGACCTTGTTGAGAGAAGGATATGATCTTCATCGTAACATCCTAAATAATGAACAATGAAGAAACTGAATTTGTTATCACAGAAGTCATAAACCCTAAGCTTGTCTTAATATGTACTATTCTTATATTGAATCTGGATTTACATGCTCAAGCTACCATAAAAGGATAGGAAATGACCACAATAACGTAGCATTCAACCACGAACATCAATAAAACTTGCCAACTTCCAGAATTAGATATAGAGAGAAGTTCTCTAAGACAAGAGTAATACCAGTAGAAACACTCAACCACAATTTCCCAGAAAAAGGGTCAAAACTCCAGACCAAGTAGGACAGTAGCTGTATATATGGTCTTGTTCTACATGTAGAACCAGATTACAAGAAGAAACCTACAGAAAAACAGTATGGAAAAACAAGTCATGTTATCGACAGCATACCTCGCCCGCATTTACAGTGATGATATGAGGAGTGAAATTAGCGCCAGCAGAGCATGCGACCCAATCATTCACAGCAGGTGCATATTCTGGTCAAAATCATCAACACCATCATCAAAACTTCCAACCTTTTCAACATGAAAGGCATATCCAACTAAAGAAAGGCGTTACAATAGGCACAAAACACAAAAATTCTTCATTTTTTATCCCAAGAAGACATTCAGAAAACTACCAAGACACATTAGAGACCACTGCTGCTTATCTCCACGTCCCCACTTCAGCTATAGGAAGACAAACAAACAAAAAAAGAAGCGGCGACAAGAAAGTAGAAATTATAAGTTGACCACATAAGCCCAATATAGCCCAGTCAACACCCAAGTTCTCTGTTCTCCCCTTCCTAACCACTTCAGCGGAAAAGAAGCATCAGTCACAGAATCACAAAAGACTTGCCAAAGAATAAACGAGACTCAAAACCAGCAACAGAAACATTCAGATAGCAAGGGAAGAAAAATACAGAGCATAAAACATAAGGAACAAAACACCAGTACGCTAAAAAGAAGAGTTCAGTTGTGTGTTCTTAAACCCCTTTCTTTTCCAATTCGTCAACCCGGTCAACTTCTGCAGAATTGACAGAAGAAGCCCAGCTTTTCGTCCATAAAAGGGAATTCAGGGAAGCTCCAAAATGTCCAAAATTACATATTACCCTGCTCAGCTCTCAATTTCATCGCAATTGGAGATTCTTTGTCTCGTTTCATTCTCTGACCTACCATTTGTATCTCAACACTTTTTCCAATCTCGATCCAAAAGTAACAACAAGCGAAATCAAAAGATCTCGACTTGATGCATAAAACAGAAAAAACCCCATGTATATAACTATATATGAACAAAAAGGAAACATCTATCTAACACACATAAAGCTCAAAACTTTTGTCTAAAAACTCACCGAAGTTCTCTGCCTGCGCCTGTGGCTGCTGTGGTGGAGGAGGTGGCTCGTATTTCTTGGTGACCGATTTCACTTTAGGGCGCTTCTCGGAGGAGAAATCTATCACCGGCGGAGGCGCCGGAGCGGCAGAGGAGATCGGCTTGGGTGATAAAGCCATGGGCACACTTCCGTCAGGGGCGTACTTCCTTGGCCTCCCTCTCTTCTTTTTGACGGGCATCCCCGCCGACATCGGCGGCGGGGCTCCGACCACCGCCTGCGGCGGAGGGAATTGGGCTGATCCAGGAGGAGCGGCAGAGTTAGAATGATCTGACCTGTGAGAAATTTGGTAATCCGACGGAGCATCGGATCCCACCACCGTAACCCCACCACCACTACTAACTACTACTTCTCTTGCTTCCATTTCCTTAAACCCTAAAAGCTTTCCCTGTTTTTTCAACCCTTGAATTTTTTTTTGGCTTATCAGAAATATTTCCTCAAGAAATCAGGAGAAACCCACTTCGAATTTCTGCTCAATTCATTAAAAGCTTTCAACTTTGAATTAAAAAAGCTGAAATTCTTCAAACCCAGCAAGAAAACCAGACTGAACTTTGACACCCAGAAATGGAAGGTTTTGAAGGACAAAAAAAAAAAAGGAGGGGACAGGGGAAAAAAATCAAACTGGCAACTGCTCAGAAGGTATGGAACTTTTCACAGAAGGATTTCAATCTGGAAAACTCAGACTTGAAGCTTAATTTTATTTTAAGATTACAGAAGCTTGAAGTTAAGCTTAAGCAGTGCTTAACTAACTGAGGTTTTGTTGGAGAAAATAGGCGAAAATCGAATTAAAATGAAAATATAATTTCTGAATTTTGCGAGTTTTTCAGAAGTAAGAAATGAGAAGAAGGGCAGAGAAGAAGAAATTCATGGAGGTGGTGTATGAGAAATTTTGATTTTTGGAATTTGTGAGTTTGAGACTTTTGAAATGGGAGAAGAAAGGAGAAAAGGAGGGGTTTGAGGTAATAAAGAAAAGGATATTTGGTAATTCTTTTATTAATTATTTTGTGCTGTTGTTGAGCTAATTTAGGCTCTTAAATTCTAACTTTCCAAAGTCTGTCTGAAAGGAGCTTAAAAAATTAATAACATTACAAATAATTTTAAATAATTGAAAGGTAAAGAATAGATGAATATGTTTGTAATGATTAAACATTTATATATTTTACAATATAGTTTTGTTTTGGTATTTTTTTAGTTGGAATCTGGTGGGGAAAAAAAACTAATAAGATAAAATAATGTTGGGAAAGTGGGAAGGCATTTCCTCTTATCCTTCTCTGTTAATTTTCCATCTTTTCTTATTTAATAATTTTGTGTTAGACAAAGTGGACAATAGGTGTGATATTATTGTCATCATTCTTAATTTCTTATTATAGCCTTTACCCTTTATTATTTCCTTTCCTTTTTGTTTGTTTGTTTGGATATTTTTTTTGAGTGGTTTGCAAGTTATGAGGTTGCCCAAGGCCATAAGGAATTGTGTATAAAAGGTAAAGGGGATTGTGAGTCATTTAGTACAATTTTTCTATTTTCTAAATTGGTCTTGCTAATATAGTATACAGAAACATCACAAAGTAAAAACACAATGTTATAGAAATCCTATAGTATCGGTTGGTCCGATCGAAAATAACGGATACTTAACCTCAAATGATAGACAATTTTGCAGTAAGAAATGATAAAATTATGGTTCAACTACAATTTTAGTACAAACTATCATATTACTAGCTTTTCGGTATAGCTTATGGTACGATTTCACAATCATTGCAAAAACAAATTTGTCGATAGTGACCAACAATAGTTATTTTCCTCATCCGTCATTTATTTTTGTGGTTATCACGTCTCATAAACCCTACTAAGCTATAAAAATAAAAATTTAATAATTTATCAGTTAAATATTTAACTGCTTTTTTTTTAATATAGTTTTCTAAAATCCTTGTTTTTTCAAAAACTACACTAGAGCCAAACAAGCCATAAAAATCAATGCGACTTCTAATCTGACTAAGCAATAATAATAAAAGTTTCTAACCATTTATTGAATTTTCTTAGTTGCTGTTGAATAGAAATTACATGTGCAGCTACCAAACTAACTATTATCATTTTGTATTTCATATTCAAATTTGTCAAATTTTCAATGAATGGAAAATTGTTTAGTTATTTGCAAATGGGAAACTTCCTTTTGTATTCTATCTAACTATGAAGCTTCCTAATGTGTTAATTATATATTTTTTTCTTCTTACCTGTCCTTTTTCCCTTAATCCTTGTTTTGGCCTCTCTGCACTTTGCTAGTAAATGACGCTTTGAGGAAAATCGGAAAAACAACTCCAGAATTCACTTATTTACTTCTTGTTCTGGCTTACCTCTTTTGGCCAAATTTTATTTTCTTGTGAACTCCAACTTAAAAGTGAAATATCACATCAGTCATCAGTGTAATTAATTGGGCTTATTGTCTTGAAGAAAGCAAGATAGTAGAAAAGAAAATAACCAACCTAACCATTTTGCCAAAAGAAGAACTTACCAAGGGCAATGGGTTAGAATGATTAAGCCTCACAACCAAATATTATTATGACACCTTCGTTCTAAGTAAATGGGACCAAAATTTTATCAACGCAAATGTTAATATAATGTAAAATGATATAACATTAGATGAAACAACATCAAAATCAGTTAAAGAGAGGTGTATAAACAAGTGCCATTGTTACTCAAGGCTCCTTATAATTCGCAAAGAGAGGTGTATAATGCTTCGGGATAATACTCTTTTTGGTCTGAATTTTTGTCTGAACTTTCAAATAATACAATTTGGTCAGAAATTAAGGTTGTTCATAAATATTGATAGTCAAATATTTGTTAAGTGTATGACTCATCATATAATGATGTGGTGACTGCGGCGTGACTTCCAATTTCCATAACATTTATTTGTAAGAAATGGATAATGCCCTATTTTGCTTTGAATTTTGACATAAAATCAATTTTAGCCTGACTTCAAATAAGACATTTTTGTCTGAAATTGGAAAGATATATGGATGAATTTGGCTCATATTTTGGGTTGATCGTTAATATTGATGGTCAGACATTTCTTCTGTCTATGACTCAACATACAATGTTGAGGTGTTTGCGACGTGACTTCCACACCAATTATTTATAAATACTAAAAAATTTCAAAAATAAAAACTTTACACATTATTTAATAAAACAATGTTAAATAAGACCACAAAATAAGACCCTTATCATAATCTTTTCTTTTTTACTTGAACGTCAAATATTTTTTCGTATCTATAATGCTTCCCTCTGGGATACCTATGACACGCACAAGATCATAATCTTTTCTTTTTACTTGCATAGGTTAGATAAAAAGGTTAAAACATCAAATTGATTCAGTCTCCCAAAATTTCATTGCCCGAAACTATCTCTCTTTGTATCCTTCTTTGTCAGTATTAACGGTTAACCTAAATCTCGGGCTAAATTTGTCTATTCCTTTCAAAATTCGATAAAAAATTACTCTTACTTGAAATTTCAGGCTAAAAAAGGGTTTTATGTTAAGTTCGTACTAAAATATGGTATTATGTCTATATGAAAGTCATGCCACAACCACCTCATCATTGTATGCTGAATCATATATGGAAAAAATATTTGACCATCAATATTAACGATCAACCCAAATTTCAAACCAACATTGTTGAGTTTTTTCAAAGTTCGAACACAACTGTTTTATTTGAAAATTCAGGCTAACATTGTCTTTTATGTCAAAGTTTATCCCAAAATAAAATATTATCTCAAATTCTTATTTAGAGTGACAATTGATTCTAACTCTTACGGTAATTATTCCTTCAAAAAAAAAAAAACTCTTACGGTAATTATTTTAATTTTTTTATATCACAGTAACTATTTACATTTGTTTGGTAGGTAAAAGAGAAAATTAAATGCCCCATCTTAATCTACAAGCATTTTAAATTCGAACTAAATTTTAGACTTTTCCAACCTGTCAATTTCAAAAATTATAATTTTAGATGGGCTAGATTTAATAATAACTAATTGTTTATATCATCAATTGATTAATACAGGTGCTGTCAAAAACAAGTTTTATTAACAATGTTTTTGGGGAAAGAGGAAAGTCATTACAGATCACCAAATTTGATTTAATACTGTATATGGGACCACAAGGATTTGAATATTTAAATACAAAGTAACTACAATGCTCCAAAAACCCAAAATCGAATATTTTGTTTTTAATTTCCTTTTGAAACCGATTATACAAGTTACCAAAATAAATAAATAAACTATTTTTTAGATAAGAACGAATTAAATTAATAATTTAGATGAAAGTTATTTTTGACAATTATGGTGACCAATTCGATGTGAAGTAAGTTCCCACAACTCCCTTTTTTTAATTATTTGATTCTTTTTGTTTTCTAAACTGTACCTTGGCGTGGGAGGAAATTTTATTTTATTTTTTAAAATTTCAGTCGGTAATCCGACCTAACTTTTCCCATTTCTTTTAGTAAATGAATGGAAGGAAGCTGAGGAATGACAATTGAAAATGGTTCACAGAAAATTTTAATTAAACTAATGACCACTTTTAAGTTAGTGGTGCTTGTGTTTCACGTCTTTATCAGAATTCAAGAAAAGTCATAACCAAATATGAAATCCTATTGGATTTTAAGAAAGTAAATGTTCTGTGTTGAAAATGAAGTAAAAATCAGCAAAAGAGTTTATATAATGATAATTGATAAGTTGCTCGATCAGAATAAATTGTATTATTTAAACAAAAGAATAAAAAAATTAAATGTGACTCGTCTGTTATTTTAATTTTTACCTTTGTGGATGGCTGAAATTTATATAAAAATTTAACGAAATTTGTTTAGTATAAAATATTAGGTAACTAATGATACAGTCCTTGTACTTCCTTGAGTTTAGCAAATAAATCCCTTTACTTCAATATCTAACTAGTTTGACCTTGTAATTTCTGATGTTTACCAAATACATCCCTATATATTTCCTTCGGTTTGAAACACTCCTAAGCACTGGTTTCAAATTTGTAAGCAAAAGGGGCAATTCTAGATGGAAATCATGACGGATGCAAGAGCCATGACTACCAGAATTGTTATCGACCTTTTTCCATGAACATTCCAAAACTAAAAGAGAAGAAGATAAAGTTGTTTGGTCACGGTTTGTAAACACATACTTATGAAAATGTTCGACTTGTTCAATATTCAAATATTGGGACCTGCAAAATTTACACTTCCAAATCGTTGAAGGGATTTGCGTCATTTCCGTTTTCTTATTTGCGGACTTGGGCATTGGGTCATTTCCTATTCCTGGTGGACTTTTGACAAAAAATGGAATAGCAGGTTGTGTTTGGTAAATATAAGAAGGTACAATGACAAACTAGTATAATCCGAAAGAAGGAGAGTGTGTTTGATAATTGATAAAAAGAATAGTTTTTCGGGGAGAATAGGTAGCTAATTGAAACAATTGCCGGAAATTGCGATTTGTCTTGTACTGAATAAAAAAATATAACCGGAAATTGCGATATACATAATGATGATTGATGACTCATACTAATAGGAAATTAGCAATTATGAATTACTTCCCGTAAAA